TGCCATGAGGGTTCGATGCATGCATTCAACACGACCAATGTGGGCGGAGGTGTATGGCACTGTGAAGCGCTGTTCGATGCCTCGGGACTGCAGCCATTCCTTCATTTCATCGCTCTTCAATTCCCCTTGGTCGGTTATATAAGTCCCAACTTTCTGACCGGTCTGTGATTCATGAGCCAACTCCCATGCTTTAAGTTCTGGGAACGAATCATCCTTATTTTTCAAGGGGATCAACCACAGCTGACTGGTATAATCGTCTACAATATCCATGACATACTCGTTTCCTGTGCGCGACCTCAGGTCTTGTCCTGATAAATCGACCCACACCTTTTCTAACACCCTTGTAGCCTTATGCCCTGGTCCCTCCTTGCGCGTCTTTGGGACTGATGTTTTCATCTGTTTTCCCAGAACGCAAAACTCGCATTTAGGTGGGTTTGCCAAAGGAAAATTGGTAGGCATACCTGGGATTAGCCCATTCTTCGCCATCTCACGCACAGCCTGGTAGTTGGCATGGCCGAGATGATGGTGCCATGTTTCAAGATCAGGCGCATGAGATATAGTGAAGGCGTGTTCGGCGTGGGGAGATAAAAGGTTGAGGGAATAAAGGTTTTTGGTGGGAAGGAGTGTGCCATGGGCAATTGTCGCACCAGAGGATTTGTTGGTGATCCAACAGGTAGCCTCGTCGAAATGGGCGACGGCTTGGCTATCGCGTGCAAGTGTGCTAACTGAGATGAGCCTCACTGCTGCGTTAGGAATGAATAAAACATTTTCTAAGGTGATATACGCTCTGCGCGCAATGCATAGTTTGATATTGCCCAGTCCGATGGTGGTAACAGATGATCCGCCTACGCCTTTAACAGATCGAGCTGCAATTGGACGAAGCGTGAGGAAGTCGCTTTGTTCTGGGGATATGTGAACGGTTGCTCCTGTGTCAATGTAGAAGGGAAGGTCATCAAGAGACAGGGGGGTGCTCTTGTTTTGTTGGAGTGGAGAAATTTCAGAGATGGTGGCGATGTCAACGGGTTTGGTGTGCTTTCTCCAGTCCAGCGAGGTTGTAGGCTCCTCCTCAAGCGCTAACCAACCACTCCATTCGATGTTCTCCAGGGAGTCAGGGAGTATAGCTTCTGGGAGGTCCGATGCCAAACCAGCGAACTCAGTCTTTGCGTTACTGGGGGCAGAGATGTTGGATGGGTCGACGTGAATAATGAAGGCTTTGCCTGTCGAGTCCTTCACGTTCATGGCAATTTTTCCAGCGTTGCTGTTGGACTTTGTAGTGTTATTGGTATTTCCTTGAGCTTTCTCGCAATCCCTCTTATGCGCATCTTTGGATTCCTGAATTGTTTTACCTGCCATTCCCCCTCCTGGGGAGATGCAGTACAAATCCGTGTGGCCCTTACGTTTGCAGTTACTGCAAATGGGGGTACTGTAGGACTTCGTGCAAACAGCAAGAGCAACGTCGGATGTGGAGAATGATTTTATCGCGGAATGGAGGGTTTCTTCGCTCTCTAGGTAGTGACGAATGTCCTTTGATGTATACTCTTTGTCCTTTGTCGATGCGCGTAAGTCATGTAGAATACTGGAGTGGATGTGGGGAAAATCTTCGAGGGAGTTGATGATCGCAATACAGTGGAATAGGTCAGCTGTAAAATCCCCCATTGCAAAGGCTTGATCTACGGCATCGCAAATTTCGCGGCATGTTTGAGGGAGTGGCGTACCTTTCTTGCACTTAATGTTAAGAGCGGTACGCAAGAGATCAACCTGTCGGACCGGTCCTTTGTTCTGGTGCCGTTCCTTCAGTGTATCCCATGCCACTTTAGCGCCCTTCGTCATGTCCAATTCCACTTCGTCGTCGTCAGAGACATTCATTGCGATAGCGGTGTATGCGAAGTGATCGTTCTCCACCCAATTCTCATAGGCGCGAGGTTCGGAGCTTCGGAGCTAGGGGATGGTTTAGATTTCTGTCCGAGGATGTAGCTGAGTAGACCATTAATGGCGAGATAATGGATCATGTCTTTGTTCCATTTCTTGTAGTTAGATTTGAGCTTGTCAAGCTTTTCGCTGGCAAAGACACTGTTTGGGCGAGTAAGGGAGATAGATGGACAAAGGGCATCTGCTTTGAGCAGTGCTTCCTCGAGAGAGGGACTTGTAGTGGTGACGGATTCCTTCGGTGCCATGATGAGTATTGAACAAAGACAGTTGGACTGGTGGCTACCACTTTTATCATAAAACTAAGGCAATTGCCTGCAGAGCTGTGTGTATAAGTCCACAAGTTTTATGAAAGGCCTTTCATAGATGTGTCCTGTGCTTTTCTTTCTCATAAAGCCTATGTTCTTTTCATAATTAAGCCTGTGCGCTTTCAATAGAAATTTCATTCACTGGGTTGGTGTATTCATTGCCTCTTTCATAATCAATGCTGTGTGCTTTCATTGAATATTTCATTAGGAATGTTGCTTTCAATAAATATTTCATTGGCTAGGTTAGGTGTATTCATTGACTCTTTCATAATTACTGCTGTATGCTTTCATTGAATATTTCATGGGTGCTTTCATTGCACTTTTCATAATTAAACCTGTGCCCTTTCAATAAATATTTCATTGACTAGGTTGGGTGTATTCATTGCCTCTTTCATATTTAATGGTGTGTGCTTTCATTGAATATTTCAGTATCAATTCTGGGTGCTTTCATTGTGCATTTCAATAAATATTTCATTGGCTAGGCTAGATGTATTCATTGCTTCTTTCATAATTAATGATGTGCACTTTCATTGGGATTTTTCATTGAGTATCTCTCAATATTTCATTCTGATTTTCATACATACCCCCAGGGCTATCATTACGATTTTTCATTATATTCCATTATAGCAATAAAATAGCTATTAGGGTTCATCCAATGGGCCATTGGGAGGGTGGTCACATGATCAATTTCCAAAAATGGTAAAAAAACAAAAGTTGTAGCTCTTCACTGTAGCTTCCTGAATCAGTTGGAATTATGTCCTAAAGTGCTTCCATTGTGGAGATATGAGGTAAAAGGTTTTCAAAAGCACTGCATTTTTTTTTGTTTTTTGCATTTGTCTACGTGAAAAGAACACTAAACAACATGATTTCAACAGATTTAGAAAGCGAAGAGAAGGGGCTACAACTATTGTATCATGGGAAATTTCTCCCAAAAAGGAAGGTACATGCCCTAAAAGGGTAATTGACACTGACAGATGCTGATATACTACAAAAGTCAGTTATAGACTACAAAGTTGACTAATAGACTACAAAAAAAGACTACAAAAGTCGGACATAGACTACAGAGTTTACTAATAGACTACAAAAGTTGGACATAGACCACAAAGGTCAGACAAAGACTACAAAAATTAGTAGTGTCCGCTTTTTGAGACTACAAAAGTTAGTAGTGTCTGCTTTTTCAGACTACAATGGCTTGTAGTGTCTGCTTTTTGAGACTACAAAAGAGTGTCTGCTTTTCTGACATATAGTTTGTAATGTGGTTGACTATGTATGTATAGGTCATTGGGGATATGGTTGAAGGATTGGGTGAGTTGACATTTTGCCACTCATGAATTGTTAGTTTTGATGTCAGGTCCATGGCTGTTTTCCAGACTTGCAATCTGTCCTGTCTTTTCACATGAGAAGTCACTATCCTATCTAGTCTAAGGGTGTGCTTCACATGAATCCTGGATAGACATTGAGAAACATAGAGGACCAAACCACCTATATAATTCACTTTTGGTACCTTTAAACTAATTTACTCAAGGCTGACCCCAGTGGTGGAGGCTTGGACAATGACAACTGGTCTTGGTATTGAAAGACATGACAAGTTGCACTGGTAGGACGGAGAATTTATCTCTCCAAAAAAATCATGTGAACACTGACTGTGGTCAGACACAGGACAGCAGATACTGATATGAGTGGAAGGTTGACTAACATCATAGATAGGATAGTGGCTTATCATGTGAAAAGACAGGACAGATTGCAAGTATGAAAAACAGCCATGGACCTGACATCAAAACCAACTATTCATAAGTGGCAAAATGTCAACTCATCCCAATCCTTCAACCATATCCCCAATGACCTATACATACATAGTTAACCACAGTACAAACTATATGTCAGAAAAGCAGACACTGCTAACTTATGTAGTCTCAAAAAGCGGACACTACTAACTTTTGTAATGAAAAAAGCGGATACTACAAACCATTGTAGTCTCAAAAAGCAGACACAATTAACTTTTGTAATGAAAAAAGCGGACACTACAAACTTCTGTAGTCTGAAAAAGCAGACACTACTAACTTCTGTAGTCTCAAAAAGCGGACACTACAAACTTCTGTAGTCTCAAAAAGCGGACACTAGACCACTCTCCCAATGACCCATTGGATGGACCCTAATAGCTATTTTATTGCTATTATGGAATATAATGATAGCCCTGGGGGTAGGTATGAAATTGGAATGAAATATTGAGAGATACTCAATGAAAAATCCCAATGAAAGCTGTGGAATATTCAATGAAAGTGCACATTATTAATTATGAAAGAAGCAATGAATGCATATAACCTAGCCAATAAAATATTTATTGAAATGCACAATGAAAGCACCCAGAATTGATAATGAAATATTCAATGAAAGTGCACAGCATTAATTATGAAAGAGGCATGAATACACCTAACCTACGAATTGAAATATTTATTGAAATTGCACAGGGTTAATTTATGAAAGGGCAATGAAAATGGTTAAAATTCCTAATGAAATATCCAATGAAAGCACACAACATTAATTATGAAAGAGGCAATGAATACACCTGACCTAGGGAATGAAATATTTATTGAAATTGCACAACATTAATTATGAAAAGTACAATGAAAGCATCCAATATTCCTAATGAAATATTCAATGAAAGCATCCAATATTCCTAATGAAATATTCAATGAAAGCGCACACCATTAAATATGATAGAGGCAATGAATACACCTAACATAGTCAATGAAATATTTATTGAAATCACACAGGATTGATTATGAAAAAAGCAATGAAAGTGCCGAAAATTCCTAATGAAATATTCAATGAAAGCGCACACCATTAATTATGAAAAAGGCAATGAATACACCCAACCTAGTCAATGAAATATTTATTGAAAGCTCACAGGTTTAATTATGAGAAGTACAATGAAAGAACTGAACAGCTTTAATGAAATATTCATAGAAAGCGCATGATAATAATTATGAAAGGTTTCATGAAAGCTCCTAAGAAATGTTATGAAATGGTCCTGTGGTCTTTGCCTACATTTTATGAAAAGAACATAGCCTTTATGAGAAAGAAAGACACAGGACACACCTATGAAAGGTCTTTCATAAAACTTGTGGACTTATACACACAGCTCTATAGGCAAGTACCTTAGTTTTATGATAAAGGTGGTAGCCACTTGTGACAGTTGGACACGTCTAATTGACGCGTTCGTTACGCGTATGATGTGACAAGGTAAAATCTAGGGTTAAGGTTCTTCGGTCACCACACGTGACTATAGGCCCATAACCTATTGAATCTAGACCCTAGATAGTGATGAAAGATACTCAGTCTCGGTTACAACGGACTAGATTGATCCTGTACCTAGATAGTGATGAAAGATACTAGGTACAGTAAGTAAGGGTATTCTGAGTGTGAATAGAAGTGGCTCACCTTAGTCTCGGTTACAACGGACTGAGGTGCCCATAAGCTAACTGCGTGTTTATATAGTAATGTATGAGTGGCTAAGGGGATAAAGGAAAAAGAAAGAAAGAGAACCTAACAAAGGGGTATGCACGGTGTCGTGACATCCCAACACTGTGGGTGCTTGTGCCCTTTGGTCGTTGTCATGGGCCATTCGTTGTTGTCTGTCCATGGTGGTGGGTGGTCGTTGTGGGCATTTGTCGCTGTTTGTGTTCATGGGTGGTTGTTGGTTGTTGCTGTAGGTGGTCATTGTGGGTGGTTGTTGCCGTTCGCCATTGTCGTGTGCTGGTGGTGGTGGTTTGGAGAAAGGAAGCCACATCACATGTTGTGACAATGGCATCATGTTTGTACTCCCACATGAGATCACATGTATATCTCACATGAGGGAATTTTCACCTATCCCATGGAATTCCACTGGATGGTCCACAGATTTGATAAAAATTTCATGGAATCTGGTGGGACTCAATACAGACTGACAAGACATAACAACAAAAATACCATTCCATGTATATTCCGTGCACAGTCCCACAAAATGCCAAATTCCATGAATAGTCCCATGGAATTCTGGGACTGAGGTGGAATTCCGGGCAGAATTAGTGGGGGAGAGTAAAGACCTCTCTTTTTCTATTTTTACACTTTTCCCCAAAGTTTTGATCAGGCTGCATAAGAGTATGTACATTGCCTCATGATTCTTACATTTTTGTACAGTATATAAGGTGTCCTCCCACCTCATGAATGGAGTATCTTTCCTTTCCCCCACATTTTTCCCTGATGTCTTAAGAATCTTAAGTTTTCAAGTTTTTCCCTCACACATAACATTCTCCTCCTCTCTAAATCTCTTAGTCCTTCATTGACAACTCTCTTCAAAGGCTTCAAATTCAACCTCTGTTCTTGCAAATTAACAAGGACAAGCATTTATTCAACCACACACATACTTTTACAGTTATGTTCCTGAGTGTTCTATATATGTGTTCTCACATGTACAAGTGCTAAGTATTCTTTCATCCATCCTTTGTCTGTATTCACCTGTTTCCTTCTTCCCCATTTGTTTTGAGGTAGACAACTGGTTTCTGTCTCCTGTAGTTGAACTTGTGTTCTTCCACACTATTAAGAAGACACACAGACCATGTTGTGAGCTTATGACACTTTGTTGATATAATTGGATGACAGGGCACCACTGGGAGTATTGTGAGACATTGGACTTAGCAGTAAGATGCTGAGCTCATGTCTCAGCAGCACCATGACAGGTAGTGTTTGGAAGTCCAGTCTCATGACTGGAAAAAGACTGTAACCAGACTGGACCAAGACCACAAAAGACCGGACCTGCGGTTTGGTCTTTTTATTTTTGAGATGTAAAGACTGCAAAAAAACCGGTTAACGTTCAAGACCGGTTTGGACTGCTCTTTTGTAGCCCCTTAAATACCCTTTAAAACGCACCCAAGAACGTACGATTTGGTCAAAAAACGAGAGAGATATGAATTAAAATGTAAAATACTTTTGGGAATAATAGATGTACCGGACTTATTTTATAGAAGCACCAATTCCTAACAAAATTTGACGTTCTTGGGCTCGTTTTGAAGCTAATAAAGATGTTAATAAATTTACCAATTCATAATTTTAAAATATTGGCCTAAAGACCGGTCATAAACCAGTTAAAACCAATGCAGACACATGCATGGGCCAAGGAAGTGCCCTGATGCACATGACAGAGGCTCCTCAACACTACATTGCTCAGCAAGGTTGCTGTGGGAGCAAAGTGCAACTGAGGAGGTGTCATTGCATAGCTGTGGAAAGTGGGATTTTGATGACACACACAAAGTTGCAAGGAAGCTATGTTCCAGTACTTCTCAGTCCCCCACATATTCCTGCAGGACTGAGAGGATTCCCCAGGAATCCTGCAGGACTACACTATAATTTTGGTGATTTTGAGTTGGAGGACAAAATATCTGTCAAGTCCTCAGGAATCCTGAGGACTACATGTCATTTAGCCATCCTAATCACTTAGCCAGAGGTCATGTGACTTAGACTTACTCTGATAAAGTGACTTAGTGCTAAATATTCCTTATGATAGGTAAATTTGACCAGTGAAAAATGAGGTGTATTAAATGGAATTACATAAGTATATTTACTACATTTAATTTTGAAGGGAGGGGGGAGGGAGTGATGAATAGTGATGAAGGGAGGGAGGAAGTGATGGAGGGAGGGAGTGCTGGGGAGAGGCAGTAGGGGGAGGGAAGTGATGGAGGGGGGAGGAAGTGGTGGAGAGGGAGGGGGAGAGTGATGGAGGGGGGTGAGAGGGGGAGTGGTGGGGAGTGAGACAATACTTTCCATTCCTCCACTGATTCCTACTGGATTCCGCGGATTCCGGCCGGAATCCAGGAATCCAACTGGAATAGACAGAAAATCTCATTATTTAGGTTATATTTCACTCTTCTATTTCAGACATACGTTTTGGAACAGGGGAATTGATGAAAATACACTTTAAATGTGACTTAATGTGCACTTATCAAGACCTCCTGAATTACTTATGCAATGTAGTCAACCAATCTATTATTCTTTTCTATGTTGATAACTTAATCCTAAGAATTTCTTATCACACTTAGATTTGAACAGAGAAAATTGTAGTATATTATATTCATTAGAACTACATACTCTACTACATGAGGGGGGGTAGGGAGAGAGTGGTGGAGAGGAGAGATGTGGGTGGGACAAGCTTGGGACGGGGGGTGCTCACCTAGGACGACAAACGACGACTTGCGTCATTCGTCGTCTGGTTGCCACGTCGCTGATAGCAACGTGGCAACGTGTTGCCGCACTC